CCTCCTCGGAGGCGTAGCTGAGGGACAGACGGCACGGACCACAGAGACGGAGAGACCCTCAGGAGCCCCGCCAGCCACCCGCTGACACTCTCGCCCCAAGGGCCTCCTTGAGCGGCCTGACCCGTCAGCTCCCGCCCGCTTCTCCCCACACGAAGCCCCGAGCTCCCACCCGGCCCACTGGAGGGGTTTACGCTGTGCCCCCCGCACAGAGCACCACCCAGCCGCGAGCAGCCGGAAACCGTAACGAGGAAGGGCATCAAGACTCCCTCACCTCTGACGACCAAGCTCGAGACAGGAGGCCCCCGCTCAGGCACCGAGGGTTCTGCTGGCCAGGGCGGACAGTGTGGTCAGACACAGACCATCCCGGGGGCACCCCCTACCCCGTCTGACCCTCTCAATCATCCTGGAAGGTCACTGGAATTCTCTCCATATCACAGGAGTCGGACGGGAACAGACACCCCACTCCAGCACTTTCTGGCTCGGCCCTGGTGGAGGCATAATGCCTCCCAGGGCTGTTGTGGTGGCTTTCGCAAGGGGCTGCCACAAGCAGTGACCAGACAAAACAGCTCCCTCTACCTGCTGAGTGCCCGCTGTGCCCCATGGGCCTCCATGGCACCATCTCACTCAGCCCCATGACCGTCTTTCAGGCCCAGGACACCATCCCATGGGATGGACGAGGAAGCGAGGCTGGCGGACACAGCCTCGCCCCAGAGTGAGTGCCCCCCAACTGCTCCGAGCCGGCTCCACAGGGAACCCTCAAAGCCAGCCCCCCCCGCCACGGTAGGAGGGCCTCACGAGAAAGGCGGCTGGAAGCTGTGGCCCCAGCGTCCCCGTCTGCTTACATCAGAGCAAAGCGCCACACGCAAGGTGGCAACTGGCACGCCCGCACAAGGAGCAGGGGCAGCGGCGGTCCAAGTCACTCCCACCCCACTTCCCTGGGGCTTCGAGTCCCACTAGCTAACTGGAGTCACCAATGGCTCTGCCTTGGGGGCCAGGCTGGCGGGGACCCGGAAGCGGGGAGCAGCGCAGGAAGCAGCAGGAGCCCTGTAGCAGGTGAGCAGGGGACCACGACGACAGGTCAGATGCCCTCCGGAGGACAGACACACCGAACCCCCAGGACGACAGGGAGGCCCGGGAGCACAGGAACTACAAACACCTGGGAGTGGGGCCACAAACTCCCCCAAACCAGTGAGCCTGGGGGCTGGGGTCCTGCCTCTGGGAGCAGCCTGAGTCCCACCACCCCCCGGCCGAGGAGCGCCCCTCATCTCCCCAGCTGTCAGGGCCCCGGGCAAGCCGGCCACGGAGGCCGGATGTCCTCAGTTGACAGGCCACCGCCACCGGCCGGGACAGCAGCAGCCGGCAGGGCACGAGAGCTGCGACCACTCCTCCCGCTGCCCGATGGCCATCAGGCTCTGGCCACCCCGCCCACCCGGGGCTGAACTTTGCACCCCACGCCATCTGGGACGGAGAGGGACAAGCACCGCCCACCCTCCTCCCCGAGTGCTCCTGGAAACTCTGTCTGGCTTCACTGCTGCGCTCCAGACACCCGGTGCCGCCCGCCGCAATGCCCAGGGCCACGATGCCGGGCGGCTCAGAGCTGGGCTCCACCGCAAAAATACGAAAGTGAAACCTTCTGCGGTCGAGTATCCAAGACAGAACGCTTCCTCACCGCCCACCGCAGCGGCCAGCCCACCAGCGGTCCCGGGCACGCAGGGAGGGGGCAGAGCGGGGAAGCACGGCGAGGTCACCGTGCCAGCGGGAGTTCGGAGGCTGGGCCCGGTCCCCGCGGCCCCCGCGGCCCCAGCGACAGGACACACCTGGCAGCTGAGCCCAGGGGGCCCCACGGCAAGGCGGGGAGAGAGCTGTGGGTGGGCACCGGCATCCTCCGGGTTCACGCAGGGAAACCAAGGGAGGGGGAGACCTCAGGGCAATTCTGCGACACTTCCAGACACTGTCCCCAAAGAAAGAGGACCATCTGGACAAAAAAAAAAAATTAATTTAAATTCAGGGGCACACGGCACATCCCGGGGGAGGTCACGGTCCTACCACAGCCCAGGGGTAACCCAGGGGGGCACGAGAGGCTCCCCAAGGGTGCTTCCTGCTCTCCCAGGCAGCAAGAGATGCGGCCCCCGCCACTCCGCCCGGAGCCAGCCGCCACGCGCCCCTCCGTGCCTCTGAGCACTGGGAGGCGCGCCCTTCCCACAGCGGCCACCACACCCCATGCCAGATTCCGGGCCTTTTCACTGCGCTTTGGGGGCCGGCGCAGCCGACAGGAAGCCTGTGGAACTGACCGCCCTGCTTTATTTAGAAGTCCCAGAGCCGCCGGCCGACCGGGCCAGCACGCTGCACCCCCGCAGCAACACGGTTCCCATGAAGACCGGTTTTCAGACAGGAAGCCTGCCCTGAGGAACAGAGAAGGCGCCTCCTCCGTGGTTTTCTACCAAGCGACAGACCCACAACAGCAAAAGCCTCGCCCAGGAGAGGTCACAGGAGGCAGAAGCCAGCCAGGCTGGCCTGGGACCCCCGCCCAGGAGCTCCTCACCGGGTCTGCGGCCCCCCCGCTCCCCAACCTAGGGTTCTCTTCCATAATGAGAGGGAGGGTAGCTAGTTCTCAGGACTGCAGATCCCAGGGGCTGGCAGGGCACGCTCGCGGCCCGGCCGTGCCCTCTACTCCTGTCCCCAAGCAGACAACAGCTGAGCAAGACTTCGCCTGGACAACAGCACCTACGGAGCGGGACGCCTGCCTTCTGCGTGTTCACGCGCACAGTGCGAACCCCGTGCACGCACACACACACGCGTGCGCACACGGCTTTGCACACACACGCCTGTGCCCACTCTGTAGGCATTCAGGAAACGGCCGACAAGACAATGTGCACAGTCTACACCCCAGCTCTACGAAGCGCACCTGAGACCCTGTACTCCTGCGGGGCACCGGCTGGCGGGGGGGTGGGGTGGACAGGTCCCAGACGGGGGCGATTCTGTCTCCAGGGCACGCTAGGCAATACTGGGGCGTCTGTGGCTGTCACCACTGCGGGTGCTCCTGGCATCCAGTGGGTCAGGCCAGGGATGCCGCTCAGCCCCCTACTCCAGCCCTCACGTCCGTCTTCCTGCCGCAGACCCCCACTTTGGACCTGCAAGCTCACTTCTTCCTCCTCTTCTAATCGCCCCCCCATACCCAGAACAACCCCTGAAACGGGGGCATGACTCCCCACAGCGCAGGCTGGCAGGGAGAGGGCCGGGTGCCTCTCTAGGGTCACAGGGCAGCGGCAGTGCGGGACCAGAGACAGGTGGTGCTGCTGTCCACACCCCCTCCCCCAGGCAGGCACTGGACCCTTCGGGCAGTGGGCCCCGCTGGGTCTCCCAGTCCAGGGAGACTGGAGACACACACCAAGGCTGCAGGAGCATGAGCCCTGCACTGCTCCCGGAACCCCATGTCCATCCAAACCTCGGGTGCTCGGGACAAGTGGCGGGGCATCCAGAGGCTCACAGGCCCACAGGAAAAGGCCCTCTGGCAGTATCCTTAACACACCAATAACTGCTCCGGTCCCCTTCCCGTAATAAAGTCCACGTCATGCTGCAAAACCAGCCACAGCCACGCCAGCCTTCCCAGAGGCCCCCCAGAACCCACTGCAAGTCTCCTCCACACTCCGAGCTTACTCTCCACCTGCCTTTTCTGCAAAGTTGGCGTATTTTACAGTCTTTGGGTAAACTCAACGCGTCTGTTTAAAAAAAACAAAACAGGGAAGATATTTCATCAAACGGAGGGCCCAGAAGGGCCACTGCAGGCAGGAGAAGCAAGGCATTCCCGCCAAGACCAGCAACCTCCCACGAGGCCACGGACACGGCTCGTTCACCGGCAGACTCGGCTCCTCTCAACGGTCCAGCACGCCCCTCTGAGCCAGCGCCTCCTCCCACCCAGGGCCCATCCACGCTCCCTCCGAGGGCGTGTAAGCACTTCCAGCCTTCCCTGCAGTGTGGGAACCCAGCGGAGCTCAGGAGAAGGGCAGGGCAAGGCTTTCTGTTTTGTAAACGACCTTCCTGCCTTGGGCAGTAGAGTCCTTCAACAACCCTCCTCTGGGTGACAGCGCTTTGCCAACAGCTGGGCCGATGAGCTCCTTACAACAGGTGTGCCCCGGGGAGACGGAGACTGGGACCCTGGTGACCGGGACAGGAATCTTCCCCAGGACGGGGAGGACCCAGGAGAGGGGCTCCCCCAAGACGAAAGGAATGGGTTTGGGGAAGGGTGATGAGCCGGCCGGCTCTGAGGACCCCCGCCTAAAACGGGAGCCCTGAGGGAAGGAAGGGCAGTCCTCTCCCGCAAGTGGTGTGCCCCGCCGAGGGGATGGGGTGCTACAGGGGGACAGACCCTGCGCGGAGGAACAGGGCTCCACCTGCTGGGAAGAACCAAGGCGAGATCCTGGGAGGTGAGGGGTAAGGCTGGTGGGCTGCAGCCCAGAGGTCTGGCCCTGAGCAGATGCGGGGGCAGCGAGAAGGGGACAGCCCGCAGCCCAGGGACGAAGGGCTTGCTGGCTGAGAAGTGGCTTAGGACCGGCGCTCCAGGGTTCTGGGGAGCCCCCCACCCCCGACAGTGCTGGCAGGGGTCCTCAGTGGAAGGTGCGGGTGCCCCTAATCTGGGCAAGAGGGGCAGGGCTGTCCCCACTAGGACCTGGACGCCTGATGTGCACACAGAAGCAGGGCTGGCCCTGGGGGACTCCGGAAGCCCCACACGGGCAGCGCAGGCACGGCTGACCCTGGAGGCTCCCAGGCTGACCTGGGCGGCACCGGCAGGGCCGACCCGCGCCGCACACCTCCCCCAGGGGCCGGGGCTGGCGGTGGACAGCGCGGGCGGGGGCCGGCCCCCCGGAGCCCGGCGCGCGCTGCGGACGGCACGGGCAGGGAGCGGCCCGGGCGGCGGGCAGCACGGCGGGGGCGGCCGCGCCCGGCCCGCGCCGACACCCGCACCCGGCCCGCAGGACCCCGGCAGGCCCGGCCGCACTCACCGAGCAGCAGCAGCTTCAGCTCGCGTCGGGCGTCGCGCTTGTCCCGCCGCAGCTGCTTCTCGATCTCGGCGTTGATCCGCTTGGACTCCTTCACCTCATCGCTGAGGCAGCACGCCATCATGGACTCCAGAGTCATCGTCCCGGCCCCGGCCGCCCGCCGGCCGCCCCCGCCGCCGCCGCCGCCGCCCCCCGGCCCGGGCCTGGCCCGGAGCCGCCCTGGCCGCGCCCGCCTGGCCCTCGGCGTTCGGCCCCGGGGCCGGCCGGTCCACCTCGGCCGCCTGCGAGCGCCGGTC